ATTCTCTGCCGTTAAACATGGTTACAATCGCCCAGATCAAATGGAAACCTGATTTTAGAGTTATATATGAAAATACCCCTCTTTTATTTATAATTTTCTGCCAATGTATATTTTTGGTCGACGTTAATATCTTGTCAGCTCCATATTCTTATTTAATTAATAATTAACATTATAATGCCTGGGTATCCCCATTTGTCGAGTAAAAATGAAAATGGGGGGTCAAAGAAAAATATTCTAATATGTAGAGGGGGGTCATCATTAAATTTCTGCTCTTTTAAGGGGGGGGGCTTTCAATTTTAAAAATTTAGGAAAGAAAAAATTCCCCTCCCCCCTTCCATAAATAATGACCGGTCCCTAACTGCCAGTGGACCATCATCTGCTATACTATTTAGTGAAATCAACCTGTTGGGTCAGTTTCCTAATTTCCTTCAAATAAGGGCCCTAGGGGTGCTGTGTTGAAGGGGCTGGAACACTACATCTGAAATGCCCACTTTGCCATTGCATCTGCATCTAAAGATAAACATTGACAGATAAAAACAATGTAAGACAATTTGCCAGGTTTCTGTTATATGCAGGTTAGGGACCGCTCATTATTTATTGTACAGGGGGGGATTGAGGAGAAACTGGGGGGGCCTTCAAATTTTTCAAAACCTGAAAGGGGGGGCTTTGAAAAAATACAGGGAGACGAAAGAAGGGGGGCTTTGAAATTATTTACCAGTTTGAAAAAACAGTAGTTTTAAAAATGTATCACAAAACAACTTAACAACAAATAACAATATTTATAGACTTTAATATTCATAAATGGAAGTCAAATAAAAAGTCTCTCATGTTCATGTAAATAGACAATTCCCATTATAGACTAATTTTAGAACTAGGCAAAGAGATGCAAATCAAGGCCGAATTTTGGTGAAAATAGTGGGGGAGGTGGACAAAAATTTTAGGAGAGGTGCAGCGGTCTAGCTCACAACTCCCATGGAAAGTTAGGGCTTATTGTAGAAGAGGCCAATATCAACGAGGTGAGGTATGCATGTAGGGTACATATGTACCAGTGTATTAATGAATTATGAATGTATGACTCCAATCTTGCCTTCATTACAATTGCTACACTGTTTCTTTCAAAACATTGCATTAAAAGGGTGCTTGACATGGCTATCACTGTTTCAATTTTACAGAGAAAACTTTCTTACGTCACAAAGTGTAGATCCTAAGCAACCATCACATTTTCACTTTGTTCCATCATTGAAACTTTCCCAAGGGGAAGTGCATGACCTTTCAAGAGAGGTGGAAAAATTCTCGGGGGAGGTGCAAAACGATCTCTGGGGAGGTGCGCACCTCTCCACACTTCCCTCAAAATCCGGCCTTGATGCAAATAAATCACCACAGCTAGAAAGAGCATACTAAAATAAGGTTGCGAATTGTTGCAAAATACGGAAAATATAGCCTTGCAAAGTTTGCAAATTTTGTACACTTTTGTATTGCATGCGAAAATTGCAATTATACAAAAGAATACAAATTTGCAAACTTTGAAAGGCTATATTTTCTACATATTTTACAACATTTTGCAACCAAACTTTGGAATCTTAGTAATTTAAAGCCCCATTTACACTACGCTCAATTTTTGGTGCGACACGGATAAAATTGGTACCCGTACCACTTTTTTTGTTCTTGGACTACCTATTTAGGTAGTCCAAGAACCAAAAAGTGGTACGGTACCAAAAATTGAGCGTAGTGTAAACGGGGCTTAGCTAAATAGGTAGTCCAAGAACCAAAAAAGTGGTACGGGTACCAATTTTATCCGTGCCGTACCAAAAATTGAGCGTAGTGTAAACGGGGCTTTAGTATGCCCTTCCCGGGAATATACTTTTTTTGCTAAGATAAAAAATTAGTCTATAATGGGAATGTCTATTGGTCCCCATTACCTATTTTTCTTTCTCTAAAATAAACAGCTAGAGTTTTTGTTTCTCTAAATAAAGATAAAGAGCTAGAGGGGGGGGCAAAATTTATGTTCTTGTTTTGCCTGTTGGGGGGGCTTTGAAAATTTTACTTGTCTTAAGAGGGGGGCAACGAAAAAATATTACAACTGTAGAGTTTCTCCTCAGTCCCCCCCTGTACAATAAATAATGAGCGGTCCCTTACAATTTTTAAAGCGTTTTGTATCGTTTGCACTTCCAAGAGCGAGCAAATTAAACCACAGTTTATGGAACTGGGGATAAACTGAATCTCGCATTTCTGTTCAAAAAGACACCTTTCTCCTCTTCTATTTGCCCCTGCGCCTACAGGGCGACAAATCGCTTTCCCATTGTCCTAAGCGTTGCCCCCAGTTTCTATAGATGCCAACCTCGATCCCAGGCTTTATAGATGCCCCCCATAGGATGCCCCCAGAGCACCAAAACGAGCTTCAGAGGTGGGAGAATGAAACCCAATCTTGGTTACATCCTCGCAAAGTATTATGGGATAGTCCTCTTCTCTACCGGCCTCCATCTTGGAAAGGTTGTATAAAAATGAAATATAATAAAAATGTCAGTTCTTCTCGGCGTAAAAGCCGCAAAGCACATTTTACAGCGCCATCAAGTGTAAGACGAAAGCTTATGAGTGCCCCATTGTGTAAAGACCTTCGTCAGAAATACAATGTACGCTCTTTACCCATCCGCAAAGATGACGAGGTTCAAGTCACACGTGGCCACCATAAAGGTACATATTTCTAAGATTAATTGAAGTGTACGACTGCCATACGTTAGGGCCGAATAGGTGGACTACCTCGGTTATTAAAAAGTCTTTTATTTTTGTCCGTGGATAGTCGAATTCATGAATAAAACTTGTCTTGGTAAATAAAATTTTTTTAGTTTTTTTTTATTAGCTTCGCCAACTAGGGCAGGGTCACCACAACAGCATATGCCAATTACTGTGGGCCCTTTTTACCTAACCCACCCTGTCAACTTTTCCCTGTGGGAGGAAACCGATTCATTTGATCCCATTTCCACATAAATTATATTGTTTTCTATGTTTATATGGTAGCCAAGCTTTTACACAAATATTGTAGTAAAAAGTAGTTTCTAGTAGTTTTTAAATGTAAATTTTAGAATTTTCTTTGCATATATTCATGACACAGTTGCTATAGCCATTCATTAGACAGTTGCTATAGCCCTGACTGGAAAGTTTGAAAATTGTGTGGGGGAGATTTTGAAAATTTAATAGTAAATATATGGAAAGCATCAAAATTGTGTGGGCGATATCTCCCCTGTGTGATACAAACTTTTCACAATAGGCTTAGCCTATAGGAAACAGCTATAGAGGGAGGGCTCAAAGCTATATTGTTATCCAGCCCTCGAAAACCGTCAGAATTGAGGTCGGCAAAAAAATGCCGACCCAAATCTGACCTAGGTCAGCACATCTCAGCATTTTTTTAAATCTGTTTCCATGTCTTGGAGCACTAGTAATCGCGTATTTACAAATCATTGAAATCGGAATATAAAGCATGCCATTTTCCACAGAAACGCAAATTACAGTAGCACGACAGCTTTTCTTTTGGAGTCTTACCTAAATTATATATGGAATACCTGTCAGTTTTTAAACCTTACACCGAAGTGTGTTTAGTTAATGGGTCATTCCAGAAAAGATCCATACCCCCCTACGGAGGAAATCGAAAATAACCCCC